TGTGAGAGCCGCCGACGAAACAACTCGAAGTGTACCGTAACGTGCAGCCTGGAAAGGAGCATGTCGAGATGTGTGCCCCTTCATGATTGAGCAAACGCCCTCGTGAGTGGTTCCTGGGACGGGTCCGCGAGGGGTGGGGGCGGGGCGGGGGCGGAGGTGTGGGCGACTGCAAGGCGGAGAAGCGTCGGCGGCCGACACGGAGGAGGCGCTGCGCTGGCGACGGTCGCTGGCCCAGGACAAGGCGCCGCTCGCCGTCCTCCTGCTGCTGTTCTCGGTGGCCACCGTCTTCGGCAACATGCTGGTCATCCTGGCGGTGGCGCGCGAGCGCTACCTGCACACCGCCACCAACTACTTCGTCACGTCCCTCGCCGTCGCCGACTGCCTGGTGGGGTTGGTGGTGATGCCGTTCAGCGCCGTCTACGAGGTCATGGAGCACACGTGGTTCTTCGGCGCGGACTGGTGCGACGTGTGGCGCTCGCTCGACGTGCTTTTCAGCACGGCGTCCATCCTCAACCTGTGCGTCATCTCGCTGGACCGCTACTGGGCCATCACGGACCCGTTCACCTACCCCATGCGCATGTCGGGGCGGCGGTCGGCCGCGCTCATCGCCGCCGTGTGGGTGTGCTCGGGCGCCATCTCGTTCCCAGCCATCGCGTGGTGGCGCGCCGTGCGCGATCAGGCCGTGCCCGCGTACAAGTGCCCGTTCACGGAGAACCTCGGCTACCTCATCTTCTCCTCCACCATCTCTTTCTACCTCCCTCTGTTCGTGATGGTGTTCACGTACTACCGCATCTACCGCGCCGCCGTCATCCAGACGCGCTCCCTCAAGCTGGGCTCGAAGCAGGTGATGGTGGCGTCGGGGGAGCTTGGGCTGACGCTGCGCATCCACCGCGGCGGCGGCTCCCACGAGCTGCCCGAGCCCGCCGACCTGGACGAGTTGACGGGCGCGGCCGACAACGGGCTCGGCAGGCACCCTTCGCAGCGCATGGGCAAGGGGCTCAACAGCAAGAACTTCTCCCTCAGCCGCAAACTGGCCAAGTTCGCCAAGGAGAAGAAGGCGGCTAAGACCTTGGGCATAGTGATGGGGGTGTTCATCGTGTGCTGGTTGCCGTTCTTCGTGGTCAACCTGCTGTCCGGATTCTGCTTGCAGTGTATTTGGAGAGAAGAATTGGTGTCGGCTGTCGTCACGTGGCTGGGGTGGATCAACTCCAGCATGAATCCTGTCATTTACGCCTGCTGGAGTCGCGATTTCAGGAGGTGAGTACATTTTTTAAAATTTCTTGATAGTTTTTGCTTGTATTTGACATGAACTTGAAGGTTTCATCATTCGAAATTTTATTGTATTGCCAATAAAACGTACATCAATGTGTAGATCAATTGAACTAGGTTTGTAATATTCACAAATCCTTCACCAAATGTTAAACGAAGTTACAGAGTTTGTAGAGTTGTTTGTTTAATTCACTGACCGCGGTCGTCTCAACATAACAAAATATTTATTAGAGCGATGAACAATGATTAATTACAACTCAGTACTAGTTTGTAAACTTCTTTGATTTGTCGAACGTATTATAAAGCTGAATGGTAATGTCTATCATTGTGAACCGAACTGAAGATATCTAATAAGAGAATTACAGGGTTAATCAATGAAAGCAACCACCTTTAATATTCTCTAAACGGTTCATGATATTGAGATGATATTTTCACCAAACTATTCAGGACCGGATTGAGGCCTTGTTCTTCAGTTGTAGTCATTAAATGTTTGTTGGCGTTTTAATTTTAAACAAACAGCGTCTATCATTCGCTGATTCCAATCATATTGGTGTAAGATGTCTAACTCATGCTGTGACCTCTAAACATTAAAAACACCCCAAATTCTCATTGTCATTGACTATTAAATACGAATTTTATTATTTACAAAATTTTAAATAGTTAAATAGTAGGCGAGCATTCGAATTGGGTATAACATAATTATATACATTCCTATGTCTTCTAGATTACATTGCAACCATAATTGTTTCCAACTGTCCCGTAAGTATTGCTAGCTTAAGAAGCTTTCAACTCAGAGTTGTAACCAACATCGTAATATCAGTAAAAGTAATTTTGAATTATTAATGATTTAAGACAAATTTACGATTACATACGAGAGAAAATTGGTAGATGCACTAAAACACATTTAATAACTCACTTTTATTACTGAAGGAGTTGCTACTCAGTTGAGCGCACCAAATACAAATGTATTTTGATGCCATTCAGAAATCTACTGAAACCGTTCAGATCAGAAACAAGGGCCTCACCTCTCGATTTCTAAAAAGCGGTGGCGCAATGTTGACTGTAATGTATTTAGCAAGGATTATGCTATTTTATATCATACAAATATTTCCTTTAAATAGAAAATGTTATATTCTCCTGAGGAACGAAACTACTAATGAGAACATAATTTCTTATCACTTCGATCTTCAATTCTTTCAATTCAATTCTTTCGGACGAAAAGTAAACTTAATAACTTGAATCATTGTAAGCTATTGTGACTATTGAAGGGTTCACGGAGTTATTTCTGCAAAGTTAAATTCAACTGAGTGTCCACGGTCTCTGTTCTACACGTTCAGTCATTTGCAAGGTGGCGAATTATTTTGAAAAGCTGGAAGATCGAAATGTATATAAATTATGAAATTTACCTCTATAAGAGACTGATAATTAAATGTATTTATCATATTTCTCTTTGAGCATTTTATTTTTACACAATGTTAATTGAATCCAGTTATCACATTGGGAAGCGATATCAACATAGACTTTGCTTAAAATGTGTTCACTTTCTTACTCTTTTGCAACTCGTGAAAGCACTATGAAGCCACTCACTAATTTCTAAGGGAGTTTTAAGATGGACCTTTAACATTAAAACATTCATTTAATACTTCTTTGTGAACTTGCATTTGTAGAATATTATAAGACTAATTGGAAAAACTAATTGGTGCATGAATGGATATGTTTAGCGTCTTGGTTTCCAAAGTTGAGAGATTTATCTTAGTAATGTTATCTTATCACGTTAGTATCTGTGTGATGACTGACCAATAGGGCGATATTTGTACTGTGATCATAAGTTGTCAAAGTAACTATATTGTAATAAAATGTGCCATTTATCTGTTGACAATTGTGAGCTTACGCCAATAATTCTGAAACTGTAAAGTGTAATAATTCATTAATGGTATAAAATCACATGTTAAAGCGACTATTCGATTTTACTAAATTTAATTCTTTATTATCAATGAAGCATAATTTTATTGATTTTGCTTTGGAAGCTTACACTTCTTAAGGTCTGGTACTCCGCTGCTGCTGTTTTTTTTTTACCCATTTCAAGAAAATATTACTTCACTTCTCCTCTACATGGCCTAATTTCTTAATATGTTGTTTATCATTTAAGCACTACCACATGTATTCGTATTCATTAAATGTTTTCCATTAAACCAACTATTACTGTTTTGATAATATAATAAATACAAAGACATTCCCTACAAATAAAAACATTATACCTCACTAACTGTGCAGCTATCAATTAATTTAAAAGCACACTCCAATTCAGCTGTTTACTTTCAATGAAGAAATTCGTTGCGACAATGGATATCGTTTACTTTTTTTTACATTTTAATAGTTCAAAAATCGGGCAGAAGGCCTTTTATAGTACTATAAACCGACGGCATACATTGTAGCATCTCGTGTAACGTGGAGGAAAAAGTGACCCTCCGTGAAAGGACCCTGCGGTTGAATCTCGCGTGGGGGATATCCTCTGCCAAAGTTGTGAAGTGGAGCGGCGTGGCGGCGCTCTGCTCCGGAGCGGCGCGTCCAGCGAGCTCAGCTCAGATGCGAGAGCAGCGGCTCGAGCGGCGGCGACAAAGCCACTCTCGGAGACGCGGAACTTGGCGGCGCGGCGCGGCGCAGCTCGATACTCGGAAGTTTCCCGCGTCTTCGCGAATCTCAGCCCCTTGCACTCGCTCGCATTCTCTACCTGCGGGTGCGTCGGCCAAGGACACTGGACAGCAAGAACTTGAACGTACACGCAGGGCTTACTGCCAGGCATTCGTATTTACTGTAATAATACACCAGCAGGTAGTCTATAATCGAAAACGTCTCGAGTTAAATTTTGGAGAGCTTTTGGCAATTAGAGAAAAGATTAATGAGAAACAATATGAATTGTCAAAAATCTCCGTCGGTCGTTAGGCGGGCAGGGGCAAGGGATGGAGAACGCCGGCCGTGACCGTGAATCAACCCAGACCGTTGCAAGCGTAGTTTCACTTGCAGAAGTGAAAAGAAAAGAAAAAAAAGTAAATGTAGTGTACGTTTTGTCAAGGGAGGTGACGATTTTCTTTCCCCTCATTGCAGTGAGACCCGACGCCGCCCCACCTGTCAGCTTACGGGGTTTTCCCCAGCCAGGTATCTCCCGCCACCACTCCACCCGGGGTAAGCTCTGGCTCCCGACATGTATCTGAGGGGGGAGAGGATAGTACAAGGTCCTTTAAAGTACTATTTCGGCATTTGCCTGCTGTTGATCGGAAAAACCACGAAAAACTATTGACTAAAACACCCTCTCGATTTAGTTTCCTTTTACTGTCGAACATCCTGCCACCTTTATCACTCGACATTTTAAAAATGTATCATGAAAGACCGCAGCGACGGTAATGGATTTTTTACGTGGCCAGAATCAAACTAGTGGTGCTAATACATCTCGTACTCCCCCCCCTGCATTTTCACGCAAAATTACTCGAAAAATACTCAAAATTTCGAAAAATTATACATGATCTTATTTCAAAATATATCTTTGAGGAACAGATTTTATTAATGGAAAAATCTTATCTTTAATATTTCAGTTGTAGAAAGACTCCAAAAACTTTGAAATTTTGCAATTATCGAAAAATCAGGTTTTTAAACGAACATAGGGCCATCACCATTCTCTTAAACGTACATTAAACAAAATCCAACAACAAAATGCAATAAAAACAATGGAACCATTCTTTGACAATTTGGAAAATGTCCCAGGAACTTGATGTAAAGGACCCCCGTCCCCCCAAAAATTAAAATATCGGTTTCAACTTCAAAGAGCCGCGTCATCAGCCAGATCGATAGATGAATATTAGTGTTGGAGAAAATCGGCTAAACATTTTTGCCGCTAGCGTTGTTCACGGATGGACGGTTTGCTGTCATTAGATTTTTCGGTATCAAGGACCCACAATATATGGAGGCACGTGACAGAATATTTTTTCTAAATTTAGCATCTGGATTTATTTACGTATTCGTTACCACTGCCCTATAATGAGTTTTTTCGCACAGCATTACATAAATTTCTGCCTATCCCGTAGGGAAATGTAAAAGGTAATGTATAACAAATTTTAAAAATACCTTGAATGTTCTATTTTAAAACGTTTTAGTGCGAACTATGGAATAGATTAATGAGAGAATTATAATAATTTCAAGTAAATGAAGTTCCTCCCATTTTCTCTGAAGGAGCGGGCTCCTAAGTAACTGCCACTATTTGCTAGGTTCAGTATGCAACAACTACACTTTCACGAACGCCATATAAGTGCAATACGCAAACTTCGTTTAACTCGCTCTACTCAGAAGCATTCTCTTTCTGAGCAATATTCTGGATGGATTTGAAATGTGGCCGAATCAAATTTGTTGCATATTTTCCACGGTAAGCGTACTGAAAAAAATCGACTGGAGCTGCCACACACTCACCAAATGAAAACTACTGAGGGGTCTACTTGTCACCTTTTCTATTACAATGCTATGTGCGGCGTTCTCGAGCATGCACTGAAGGCACGTGGAAGTTAGTAGATCAGTTGTAATATTCGAAGACTGATTAATTATATTTGCTTGACAACCGCATGACGCAGAAATTGTACATCGCCGGAGCGCGGGTTGTGCTCATCTGATTCAGACATTATTACATGTATCGAAACTCATAATATATGTGACACTTTTATAATTAAACACACTAGTGCATGTCCTTTATGAAAATTAAATTTGGGAATCGAGATACGTATGTTTTGATTGTTTTAATGTTGCTGTGACATTTTGTAATTTAACGTGTGTTGAAAATACTAGAACACTCTGGAAAATGTAATTATAAAGGGAATATTTTGATCAAGTTCTGTGAGAACCATCTTAGGCATTTTACCAATGTGTGACCTATTAAACAATGTCTTCACTCTTTGTCTGATGAAATATTTTTGAACATATCATTTACATAAAGTTTTACCTCATTCTCTACTCCTCATAGACAGGCTAGGAGCTGAGGGCATCAAATCCTTCCACTGCAGTGCCTCTGACGGAGAGGTCCTAGGGTTCGAATCCTAAGGAAGACATACGTTTATTCATGATCTAGGATTTTCGACACTAGATAGCTAGGCAGAATTTAGCAACTGTCTAGACAATTGTGGTGACCGGCTACTATGATCAGCAGTTTTCTTAGGTGCTCCAATCAACATCAGGCGAATGCCGGAGCAGTTTCTTAACAAATGAGCCACGAACTGCACGCAGTCTTCCCTTCCTCTTCGTTGCCCTATCCTCATCTTTCACTTACTCTTTTAATTACATGCATTGCACAACCTTGCGTGTCGGGAGTCCAGTCGGCAGCTTAGAGCTTAATCCAGCTGGGACAATAGTTCGCTGGTGAGCTATATCTGGAGGGGAAAAAGCCGCCAACCGACGTGAAGATTGGCGCGAGATATCACCATCCAGCGAGGGAAATATACCGCCACCGACACCACCCGTGATATAACATGCACTACACGTACGGAATTAGTGATCATAAAAGTTGACGCCCCCGGAAACATGAAATAATAAATTTTCTCCGAACGGCAGCTGTTCAAGCAGGCAGGCGAAGGGTGGCGGAACAAGCACGTACTACAGTTTTTACTATTCTATGAAATTTATTTGATACGTATTCTGTAAGGAACACGGAGTAAAGAAACGCTTTCTCATGAAATAAGAATTCTCCAAGCTCAAAGGCTATTTCGCATACCAAGGTCGCGAAAGAAAACCCTGCGTTGCAGACGTGACGTCTATCCTAGATTTAATTTTGTCACACGTAATTGTATATTTTTGGGCAATGCAGAGTGCGAGACGTGTGTGTAATTATCTTATAATTTCGATTTTTTGAATACGCAGTTGGTATTATATATTCGTTTTTTATTACTCTTGTCCCTCATCATATCAATTCAATTGTCAACTAGCTCTAATTGATAGTTTCTTCCTACAGGCTTAATGAATACTGAAATTGGGCTTGACCTATACAACATGCACATTTATAATATACTTACTTTATATGTTTTATATCAGTTCATACAGTTCATAACGTCACGTTGATCGAGTAATGCAGGTGCTTCTCTACGTACTCACAAGTGTACGAACGGAGGAAAAGCTTATCGAATTGGGTGGATCTCGTATTCTTCTCCAGTTGTCAAAGGGATGTTTTTTTGCAGGGGTAAAAGATCTGTTCTCGCGAAGTGAGGTGCCAAAAGTTGCTGCTCCAGTTTAAAAATAAAGGAAAGTTTTGTCGAAATATCATGAAAAATATAATGGAATAATGACACTGAGTATGAATGCAATATTGAATGTGCTGAAACATTTTTTAAATTAAATATTACAGATGCTAAAGTACTATGATGTAGCAAAGAAGTTATTTTTGCCACTCAAGAAATTGTAGATTCTACTTGCATTATACCTTTGAAGTTATTCACTTTATATGTAAGAAAACAATTGTAAAATAGATATTAGTATTTTAAATAGCTTATCACAATCCTATCTTGTCAAATTCTAATAATCATAGACTTCTATTTGATGCTGAAAATTACATCATTGTTGGCCCTTCTTGTAATACGATATTTGCTTCTTACAAACTGTTTTTGTTCCTTTGTAATGCCATAACATACAGCCGCATGCACGTTTCCTTGGTAACATTAACAAATAATCATGTCGTAAATCGTTATTGGTAGTCTAACTTGATATGTATGAAGCAAATTAGAATATAATTTAAGTTCTGAGGTGGCTATGTAAATATATAATATATAAATTGTAAGTTAAATCGATTCTTCTGCATCATTATTTTTAAGATATTGGGAAGCGAAATGACTTATCAAACTAAAATAATAATTTACAACGCAGACAATGGACATAAACGAAATTATTTTTTTGTTACTTTTTTCAATTTTTATTTACGCTATTGGAATATTAACACAGTATACGTATAAATACGTATATTACTGTATTTTTAAGCGTTGAATCTTTGTTTTTAAAATAAATCATCATTGTTACTGTTTTAATTATATGTTCTTCAAAATTTTCTTGCAAAATGTAATGGCTACTGTGTGCAGGATAACTCGATTGTTGTTTTTTCATTGTCTTAGCGACTTTATGTTAAACTTGAAAAATAGTTATCAGGTATCACGTGGTTCTATTGATTTTGGATTGTCGGAGGTGGGTGACATATTATATTAGTATATAAGCAGAAATACCGAAATAAATATTAGAAATAAAATATAATACTTGTGCGACAATATTAATGAAATATAAATAAACTATTATAGAATTAAATGAACTCTTCTTTTGGAATATTCTCCATTTCTTACTTTCCTGTTTGTCGATGAAGAATACTTTTGCTGTATTTACTTAAGAAAGAAGTGCAATTTTAAGTGTTTACTGTTCTCTATATAATTCATACAAGTTTTTTAAGTTGGAGAAAAAACAACAGTCAATAAAAGGATTGTTAATTGGTATTCAATAAGTCTGTTCATGGGACTACGAGTCAATGCAACATACAGTCCCTACCATTGGCACAGCTTATTGCTTACACCTTGGTATAGGTGTTCGAAAGTAAATGGAAAATCCCCGCGAGTGCAATTCTAAGCACTCATAACTTCTCTTATTAAAAGCTGCTTATTAGGATTAGTCACCTGACTCCGGTTTAGAGAACTGCTGCTAAGCTCTTTAAAGCTCCACTGTTGAAAATTTGTTCTAATTTTTTAGGGAGTTTCGCGTTCACCCCAGAAAGTAGAATATCGGTCGTGATTTTAAAATGCAGTGTTATATTGATGCAGTGAAAGGATACACATTTACATGAAATGTTGATTATTTCGTTACTTGAATTTATTTCAATATATTCGAGCCGATTTCTCCTCAATTTTTCTATTGTTGCTATTTATTGTTTATTATTATTATTA